TGAGTCCCGGGCGCCCCCGCCCCCTTCACCGGCTCAGCGACCCGCGCGGCAGCCCCTGCGCCTCCGCATCTAGCTCGTCCGCTTCAGATGCGGCGCAAGGGAAAAGCGAATCTCGGGCTGGGGTTCACGGGAAGTCACCCCTCGGCCAGGGCTGGGCCTGCTTCAGTTCCTTTAGGCCTGTACCTCTCCCTGCCGAGAAGCACAGCTCCCTCCTAGGCTGTGACCCAGCCACCACTCAGCCCCCACACTTGCAAGGGGAGGGTCAAACGTCTGCTGTGAGAGCAAAACGCTTCTGCGTCTCGCTCTGATCTACTTGGAGTGTCATTACAGTTTTAGCCATAGGCTGAGAAAATGCCAGCCTGGGCTTCAGGCCTCTTTCCACATTAAATGAAGTTTGAAGAATGCCTCCCCCTCCCCCTCCCCCCCTTTCAAAACTAGGAGGCCAAAGTATAAGCAAAAACCAGCTGGTTTTTTTTCCACCTCTACAACCTGGGTCAACCTTGAACAGTTTGGTATTGAAGTCTGGACTAGTCTCAGAAAAATGTTAAGAGGCAGCAAGGTGCTGGGAATATCTTTAAGGGCCAGGGTTGATGAGGGCAAGAGGGGTGTCTTGAACACAGATGCATAATTCATTGTCCTGCAACAAGGTGCCTGGGAATCAGACTTATCCAAAGCTGCATTATTTTGTTTGTAGGTTCGAAATTTCTTTCTGAATAGCTAAGCAGATAACAGAGCCACACCACAGAATAATACATGTTGGCTGCAAGCACAGAGGTACTATGGAAGCACAGTCAGCTAGAACTACTCACTCTGCATTTTACCAACTGCAAATAGACATCACAGTCCACAAAAGTACTTACTGAAAAGAGGGTCTGAGCCCTTCCTTGCAGGAGAAACTTTATTAGCTGAAGGACAGCACAGGCGGTTCTGGTCCAATGCCATCTCTGTCATGCGCAAAGCAAGCCATGCTCTGGTTAAATCAACTGACCTCCTCAGATACTAGAGGGTAAGTGAATCCTTGTGGTTGTTACTCTTTGTGCCCTTTCAACTGAAAGTGTTGAAGCAGCATAGCTATTCTCCCAACTACACACAGTAAACCTTGCTGCCCCCTCCTACCCAAGGGCAGGGGTTCTCAAAGTTTTTATGTTGCGGCCCGGCACTCAGCCAGCCAGGGCTGGAATTTCCGGCTGGCAGACAGGTAAGGATACTCCCTCCCCCTGGGCAGGGGTGGGCCAAACCCCGTGCTGCCTCAGGCCTGCACAAGAAGCTGCAGCCTCTCTGCCCCACTTCGGAGGGCTGCGGTTTGCCAGTCTGCGGCCACTTCCTGTCAGAAGCCAACAATGCTGTGGATCAGCAGCCGACAGCACAGGGACTGAGAACCCCTGCTGCAGGGCTTTCTTTAAGTGAAGTTCTCCGTGTTCTACAGACCCATATGGTAGCAAATAGGTGCCTGGTTACATGGAGTCACCGTTTCCAATAGGTAGGAACAGATATGTCTAACACACAGGCAAGTTAAAGTGAGCACATTTTGAAAGGTACATCCTAACAAGCCTCAGTCAGTACAAATGCTACAACTTGTTTGGTTAAAAATACCACCCTGAGAAATGTCTCAAATGTTGTAACTGACAGCTTTCCTGAACACGCTGTGAACTAATTCAGGGCCTGATCCTGCCAAGTGCTATGTGCCTTCAGCTTCAGTGCTCCCAAGGGATAAACCTGTGCAAAGTATTTAACAAAAACGAAAAAGAAAACTGACATCTGTGAAAAGCTCAGCATTTCAAAGGCAGTCAGTATGTGTTTATAAGGTAGGTCAAACCACTTCTACAGCTTATTACCTCCATGTGGCTTAAATTTCTGCAAGGTAATTTTCAGTCAGTCAGTCAGTCATAAGGAAAAGAAAACTTTGTCATGTGAGTGAAAGAAGGGACAAAGTTACTTGCCCGAGTTTTAAGTTTGATTTCACCTTTTTTTCCAGTCCATTCATTCATGTGTTTTCCATCTTCTTAAACACACTCCAAAGGAAATGTTTCCTTTGCAAGGAGAAAAACATTTAAAAGTCTACTTGACCCTTTAGAATGAGTTAGGGCCCTGGATAATAAGGCGATTCTGATTTTAGAGAATAAAAGAATTTATTTTAAGTACATTTATTTTTGTGGTATGGGAGAAAATAATCCACAAAATCGTCAGAAAAATAATCAGGTCAAACTGCTGCAAGTCAAAGCAAGAAAAGAGTATTTAAATTATCTTTCAATTTCATAAAATGAAATACCTGGAAACAGCTGAGATGAAAAGGATGTTTGCTACGTCTTCAGAAATTACTGGACAATAACGGACATGGTACTGATGCATACTGACAGGGATTCAAGATGTTTAAATACTCCTGGCTAAGCTGTACACCGCAGGAGGTCAAAAAGTTAGCTATATATTTATGATAATCTATGTTTCACTGTTACTTTAACTCATGAAATTACTCTCTTAAGTAGAACTTCTGAAAAAATTGTTTCAGTATAAAAGCTCCTTCTAAAAACAATAGTCCCGCTAAATGAAAACCAAACAACTAATATTCTGAGATCTGAAGTAGTAGTGATTGTATCTTGCACTTTCCAAAATGTTGTTTGGCATTGCTTAAGCTCCTGGGACTCTTCCAAAATTACCCTTTTCTTCCCAAAATAGTAATGTCTTAAAAGCAATGAAAAATAATACCCATAAAATCCAAGCGTATGTACCAGACTTAATACTTCAGAACAAAGTAGGCATTATTTACAAAAGGCTTGCTACATGAATACAAGAAATATTTACCAACAATTTTTTTCTCTCAAAAATACCAGACAGTTTGTACCTAATTTACAAATATTCCAAAATTATTACAGAATGGATGCTCTTTTATGTAAGTGACAGTCTATAAGAGTTGGAGAAATGCAAACAGATTATTCAGAAAGACAGCAGTGCATAAGTGAGCCCTTGTTACAAGGTATTAAAACAAAAAGGGAGACATTTTTATTTGCCTTGGTCACCTGCACTACCTATTTTTTCGATCTCTCTGTCTGCTTCTGCTCTTCTCCCCGTGTTCTGCTTTACTGCGCTAATCTCTATAGTTGTCTCTATATTTCTTTTTCTCTCTGTACACATCTGCACTGGGGCTTCTGGTTCCACTTTTTCTGTGCCATTCATTACTGGGGCTTTGACTTGGACTTCGTCTTGTCTGCTTGTGCCTATAACTCCTGTGACTTGTGCCGGAACTTCTCCAGCTCTGCTCATACTTGTATGGGTTTCTGCTAACCTTCTCATGCCCTTCGGTCTCTCTCTTGTCAGCGCCATGGTTTCTGCTTTCAGACATTCTTTCGCTCTTGCAGGAGCTCCATTTGTTGTTCTCTCCAGAACTATCTTGCTTCAAAAGTCTGTGCTTCTCTCTATCCTTGTCCTTGTTACCGTGACTACTTGAGGGATCTTCGTAAAGTTTTTCCTTCTTAGTCTTTGCCTTCTCTTCTGAATCACTGCTGCTTGCCTCTGAAAACTTGTCTTTTTTTCTTTTCTTAGAATACCTCTTCTTTTGTGCTGCTTTATCTTTACTGTCAGTCTCACTATCACCGCTGCTTACTGAAGTTTCGCTGGAGGATGAGGAAGAGGATCCCATCTTACGTTTTTTGTGTTTACTTCTGCTTTTTTTCTTTTGCTTTTTCTTCTTTTTATCTTTCTTTTTCTTTTTCTTTTCTAGACGATCCAATTTCCTTTTATTTTCAAAACAGAAAGGTAGAACAATCAGACACTTTAAAGACATTTTAAACTGTGTCTGTCCTTTAACACTGCTTACTTAAGATGATCCTCTACAAATGTTTCAGATTTTCTTAACACATTGAACTTTTTATTTCAAAATATTATTAAAGCTTCTACCCCAAGCCAAACTTAACATGTAGCACTCTAACCTGTGGATGCTCCCTCAAAAAACAGTAATGTTGCTTTTAAATGTATTCAAATTTAGGAAAGATATAGAAAACATGAATTGGGGCCTCATTACTAATAGCACAGTCAGCTGATGTTTCTCAAACTAGCTCTGTAGGGTTTGGATTGTTGTTGTTTGTTTGCTGTTTTATGTTAATACTAAGGAACATTTTCAAAGGCATAAATAGCAGTGAGGTGCTCAAGTCCCTTTGACCCTGAATGGAAGGTAGGAGCCTAATTGCCATTTGGTTGTTTGAAAATCTCATCCAATGTTGTTAGTTGCCTGGAAAACTCAATGATTTATTCCATCAGAAATAAATGTAAAACTCCTGCCCTACAGTACAGTGTTCTATCAAACAAAACCCCCCACATTTTAATTGCAACTGCCTTCATCTAGTTTATAATTTTAATCTCTTGTTCTCACTTATTTTGTTCACTGTTAGCAAAAATCAGCCACTAAATTTGACAGGCTAGGTAAATGGGTTTCACTGGATTACAACAGCTTTAAGCAGTTAATAGTCACGAGGACCTAATCATTTTGTTAAACCAGAACCGTTAAAATGTATGCCAGGTGTCTGGATCACCAGAAGCTAAACACAACATAGGTTTATTTTATTTAACCTACAACCAGATAATATAAACTCATTCCTTACTGGAAGGAAAGGAAGTGGCTTCTAACATCTGTAGAGGATGATTTCTTAAATATACAATTATATTTTTTATTATATATTGAGACCTAAAATGGTTGACACTGCCCTTTTCAATTTTCTCTATGTGAATATCTTAAACTACAATAAGTGCCATTTATTCAATTAGGCATTTAAAATTTTACTTAAAAACATCCCTTCAAACAATTAAAAAAAAAAGACAATGCAACTTTGTTTAGAAAACAGATGTGACCAACCTTAGCATGTGAAATCAGTAAGGCAACAGTAAAGAACGCCCCCCCCCACCCCCCAACTTTTGTGAGAAGCTCCCTCTGCTGGCTTTGCAGCAGCAAAGTATGAAACTTTATCTTACAGCAGGGGTGGTGACATCACCAATTATGCTGGTGAAGAGAAGAAGGTTGAGTTTGGCTCTGTCAGGAACAAAGCACATGCATCAAGCTTTGTCAAGTATAAAAATCAATAAGAAAAGAAAATTCATTTTCAATCTTGGAAGAGGGCACTGTAAACAACAGAGTGTAAAGCAATGTTTTAAAATAGCAATTTAGTGTCCTCTACCAGCCAATGCATATATAATGCGAGTGGTTATTTAAAGTTAAATCTGAAATGTAACTGAAAACAAAAATATACTAAAACTGCAATACATCAATTGGATTACAAAATGAGGAAGGAATGTGGTGCATAATACAAAGTGTATTTTGAGACATTTGTGGTCAAATATAGGTTACTCTAAGCTGATTTTCCTCCCCACAGATACAAAACTGGGATTTCAGTTACAGTAACAAGCACAACTATCAGCAAGGTAGCAGCAGCTTTATAGGAGCCATCTATCTAGGATATTACCTCAGAAGCTTCTGTTTTTGTTTAGTTGACAGTGATTTTAAAAATTCAACTTCTGGGTCGTCATCTCCTTCACTTGCAACAAATTCCTGTGCAACAGAAGTAACGAAACACCATGTATGCAAATAAAAATAACACAGCCCTTCAAATGTAAGGTTTGTTTTAACATGTCTTTCTATTTTAATACATACACATATACCTATGTATGCATTAAAAAAATAAAATAAATGTATATATATATATGTAATTGAATTTATTTAAATGCATACATAATGATATGTATAATGCATACATAATATATCTCTCTCAATCGATCTGTTTGTGTCTTTTGGGAGCGAGAAAGGAGTTTATTATACCAAGCGTAAAAAGAACTGCTATTTAGTGTAATAGTCAAATATTAAACAGTAACATTCACACTGTTAAAAGAAAAACAGTTCCACATTTCCTCAAAGTCATTTATGGAAAGTTTCTTTGGCTTTGGCCCACTTAGGAGTGCTGGCCAGGGGATGGAAGACTTTATATACCAATAAGCCACAAAGGAATTTAGATGAGTAACTTAGCCTTCTATAAGCCTCAAATTGCCCATTTGGAAAATTAGTTTTATACCCACTGAAGTCACAGGTACAACTGACCTCACACTTCGCAAAGTTTCAAATTAGCAGTGCATCTTCAACTCATAGTAATAAAATGATGTCAGGGGGTAACTTCAGGAATTTTAAAATCCAGACCTTTCAGATTATATGCACTTGGAATGCTCTCTCTTTCTTAACGTTTTTTTTTATCTCAACTGTACAAGAGAAGCAGCAAAGGCAGAAAGTCTCCATATGTTACCTTTCTAAACTGCTGATAACATTGCAATACATTTAACACCAATCCCATATATTAGATTTTGTCCCGAGTATGTAACTTCCTCTAAAGGCAAGGAACATAATCTACCATCTATTCATTCGAGCCTTTTAGCAATAGTTGAGCACTCTTCTTTTGAGTTTTGTCACCTGGTGGTTTGATTATCCTGTTATGTGAAGAAAGCTGCTTCACAGTGGGCTCGCTCACTATTTAAAATGGTGGGCACATGAGAGTGTACCTTAACTTTTTGTGAAAGCACCTCAAGATTTAGAATAAGTGTTTTGTGAAAGTCTAAATAAATACAATGTTATGTTTTAAATCCTGTAATAAAATTGTAATACATTACATTATACAAAAATGTTATTTTATTTTTTGCAAGCTGTTCTCAGGCTTCATCGAAAGCCCCTTAAGAAGCAAGGCAAATATCACACCTGAAGTATGTGACAAAAGCCCAAACAACCCCCTCTAGGAGCTATTCAATCTCCAGTCACCCAGAGGAGGCATTTAATTTATTAAACTATGGGTTTTTAAAAAAATCATTTCAGATTTGTCACTTTGGGTAAAATACAGCAGCAAAACACAATAAGTTTCATGATATTTTTTTCTACTGGTATATTTATCGAGCCTTCCTAAGGATATGCATATTGGAAAACATTAAGTAGCAATTCGCAAGCAATCACATTTAGATTTATAGACATTTTCAGCTTACTGGTAAAAAGATCATTACCTGTGATGGATCATTTGCGGTCAAGTTTCTCCCCAGTACATTTTGTTTCAGTGCAAACCCACTGTTTCTCATCTCCGCTATTAGCTCCGAGGGGTGCATTGATGGCCCTGTTCACAAAAATCACAGTTTGAATGTATCATTTATATCTCTCTACCTTTTTTGGACTCCACAGTGGGAATTCAGTTGAAGCTTTGTTAAGTAAAATCACAGCTAAATCAACTCAATAATCTTCTGCTGAGCAAATAATCAGATATGATTTTCTAAAACAGCAGTGTGGAGATTCAGAATAGAAAATAATTGCATTTTTCTTTAAGTGCAAGGGGATTCTCTTCTTATGTAACTTTGTCTTGTTGAAAACAATATATATTGGTATTGTCTGGTAGCATATTTTTGTTATAGTACAAAAATACAGGAAGCCTACAGAAGCAACATTAACTACATTTTTTAAACAACCCCTTTTCCCAAAAGTAATAGAAAGGCACACTTGAGGATGCTGTCATGACATTTTTCAGAAATACACAAACTTAAACAACTTAAACAATTCAAACATAATCCCTTCCTTTGAAGCTATAACTGTGGGGGGTGGGGGATAGAAGAGGGAAATAAAAACAATAAACAAGCAAACACCCCCCCCCGTGCCATCAGAATCTTTGCTTATTCCTTCTTCCCCAATTTGTGCAGTCCTTAGATTGTTACCGCTGGATTGTTCATGCGTCTCTCAGAACAGTCTTAAAACAATGCAACATATTACATTAAAGCATACATTTGCAATATGTATGCTATGTATGTTGGAATACAAAAAGGATTAAAATGCAGACCTTATCTTGGACCTCTCAGGCTTGGCTCTGTCCCTTATAAAGCCCCCATACAACTCTATCCTTTTAATTAAATACTGAAGTAACTAAGATGTCTCACAGAGTCTTATAATTAGACCTGATGCTTTACTGCAAACTAAACAGAAAATGTTGATATTTCAGCTTTGCAGAAAAAATACTAGAATATGTTCATCAGTAAATTTTACTGCCAAACAATAGATCATATATTGATTCAGTTACTGCCATATAGATGAACTGATATGTTCATAAGAGAAATTATGAGGAATTAGGTTATGTATATATTACTGATGCTTTAAGAGTTTGTTTAGAAATATATTATCAAATATATCAATCCTGTTCTTCAGTTTTAAGACGCTCACAGAACGTACCATTTTGGAGGATAAACTTCCTCACAAATCTTTAACATGCAAAGTAAAACCTCCATGTCTCCAAGTTTCTAAGTAGTTAAATCTAGTCCACAATTCTATTGGATATCACATGGACACAGTTCATGGAACTACAAATGAACATATCCACAACCCAGGAATAAAGAAAAAAACCTCAAAAGAAATAACTCATTGCATGCCACTAGATTGTGGTTATTTTAGTGTTTTGTTTACAAGCTCTCTTCAGATGTTTATAATTTCACCATGATTTCTGTAGAGGAAGGGATTTTCTACTGAAGTACTTTTAGTTCCTAAGTCATCAGAGCCTTTCAACGTGGGCTTAAGTGCTCTGTTGAACTGGGGCCTTAAATCCATTTTTCCATACATGTTTATAACTCTAGTAATTGGATTTCTCAGAAATGATTTTTAAAGAATGCCTTTATACATCAAGCTAGTTTTCCTTCAGAACATGTAACAGCGTAATTGTAAAGTCAGTGGTGCACAGTACACATTCATTGATGGCTTTGTTTACTTTTAAGTTTTAAATACTTGCCCGTGAGGCAGCAAACATCAGCGTGAGTTTTAACTCTTCAGCGTTCCTGCGTATGCTTGTCCCTGTATACGTCAGAGCCATAGCAACCATGCAGGTCCTACAAGTGTTTATCTTATATGGGTACTGCTTCAGAAAGAGAATTTATGATTTTCTAGGTAGCAGGCATACAAATTATACTGATGTGAGCCATTTACAAGAAATTCAGCATATGTAGCAGCTCAGCATGCCATGAAATCTCAGATATTTTTCAAAAATATATTTGAAATTATCCAGACCGTAACATCAAATTAACTACTGGATATAAAGGGAAGGGGTGGTTATCCTAGAACTCTCTGACATTTTCAAGGAGAGAATCCAAAAGCTTGAAATGGCAGCCACACACCGCTGCCATTATATATCTGGAGACAAACAGACCTGCAGGGGTTGACCTCAAATCCAGCCCCAGGAGGGGCACAGGTGAGCAGATCAGAGAGAGCACACACTGGTCAGGATCCCAAAAGAGTGTATAGGTCAAGAGCAGCCTTTTAAATCTAATTTGGAAGGTGAGAGAGACAGAACAGAGCTAAGTCAGAATTGCTACTGTGACCTTACTCTGCTTGCCCAGAACTGCTCCTGATGTGTTGCCTTGGTACCCAGTTATACCTGACATAAATACAGCAACCAAATTTACTACCAGATGACATCTTAATTCAAAAAAGTCTTTACAATAGCTCTCTAAGAAGAAAAAAAGAAAACAATAAGTTCAGTCATAAAAAGTATAGACAAATTTTGACATCTGGAGAAATCATCATGTTTCACCAGACTAGTATCTGAAGCAACTTTTCTAAAGCTTATAGACTTGGAAAATGGCTATATAAGACCCATATAACTGGCGGAATCGTAATTCTAGCACTCCTTAGGATCTCAAGCTATTTTGCTTATTCAGTAAAGTATGCCTAGTAATTCTCAACTGCCAGATGGGAAAAACTGAGGCATGACAAGTGTATGTGACTAGTCCAAGTTTACACAAGAAATTTTAGGCAGAGCCAAAGGGTAAGAAAAACCCTAGTCCTGTACCCGAGTCACAAGAATACTTTCCTCCCTAAAGAAAGCAGTAGAATAAAGCAAGTGTGTATTTTAATCTCCAGCTGTCAGTTCCTTGAAGAAGGGGCTGACACTTCAGTCAAGTGTCAGATCCATTTCCTTTTCAGGACTTACCTACTGGATACATACAATTAAACAAAGAAAAAAAACCCATTAAAATGGGTATGTCATCCTTGGGTATTGGTAAGCTCATGGAAGCATGTTTTTTGCCAATTAAAAAAAACACAAATAAACCCCAAAACCAGCAACTATCTACACTTTTAAAGCTTGTATAAATAAGGTCAATATGCTTCACTTAATTTTTTATGATGGAAAAAAGAAAATTCCACTCTTCACCTGTGGTCTTGTTTGTTTTTTACTGTAGAAAAATTAGAAACTACAAGTTTTGTCCTCCCCCTTTTTAAATTTTTTTTTTGCTGGAAACAAGAGTGGGAATTCTCTCAAGCCTACCATGAAAAGGCTACAACAGGCTTTTACAGAGCTCTTTTCTCCCAGCTGTCCCCCAGGGGTTTAAATATGTTTTATGGCTGGGGATGGAACAGGCAAACACCAGCTTTGAACAATCAGAATAAATATAATTTCCTTTTTCAGTTACTCGCTTTCCATTCTCTTGGTACTCATGGTGTCATAATGAGGGGCTCTACAGAAGTCGAGGCTGCTGCCAGCCGATTCCATGGGTCTGACAGCCGTTTTCGCAGGCGGAGCCCAGTAACTCCCCCCTGCCCCTCCCCCCCCATGCCTTTGGCTGGAGGGACCTGTCCTGCCCCGCACCACCGAGTGGTGGCAAGGGGTGCGGCAACATGACAGACAGCCCTCACAGCCAATCAGCAGCAAGGGTGGCAACCACCCTGCAGTGCTGACAACTACCCTTTCCCCTTCCTCCCCCCCACCCTTGCCCTCCCATGGGCTATGTGGCCGGGCCACAGTGGCCACAAGGACTTCATGCTCTCCAGAGGGAGCCAGAATTTTATTTTCAGCAATTTTTTTTTTCTTTTCCAGGGAGCCCACCAAAAGTGGCTCATGCTTTTTCACAGAGCCCATGTTTTTTTGTGGGGCCTGCCAAAAACCACAGCTTCTGTGAAAAATCAGGAAATCACAATTTCTGTAGGTCCCTAGTCATCATTCTAATTATTTAGTCTTCTGTATGGTGGCCTGATATGGGTCCTTGATGTTGGCTCAGTTCCTGATAAGTAGAGAATTGGTGTAAGTGAAGAATACCTTCTTTTCAGGTGGCTTCTCTCACAGCACAGGGCTGATGAAATTGACTTGAACACCAACTACGAGCAGGGCATGTCAGGACTACAACCTGAGCGCCAAATCCTCAGATTACTCTGGATTTAGGGACAGGCTCACTGGAGACTAACTAATCTGCCAAATGGAAATTTTTGAACAATCCTCGGCGCTGTTCTATCTTACATTAGGACAAGGCTCACGATCAGAGGCACAAAGGAGGATTTCAATGACCTTTGTCAACCCACCTCCCAGACTGTGCTTCCTAAGAAGTGAAGTTCAGAACTGAAATCAGTTTTCCAGAAATAATTTAAGAACAAAAAAATTCCTCTTACTTCTGCCTTCTTTGTGCATGATACTAAAGGGGAAAACACCTCATTTACCCCATCCTCCTTTACAAAACAAACAAACAAACAAAAAGACTGTGAGGGACATCGCTCATTAATGACTTATGTGGCAAACTGACTTCAGTTGGATTTTGAGGCATGGACCAATAAAAGATAAGGGCCATAACCTTTAACAAGAGTGGTTGCTCAAACTATGCCAGTTAAACAAACCAATCCACCCACAACCCCCAAAATCCAAATACATTTTTCAATTCTATAAACGTACATGGACAGTAGTTATAAATCAGCATGGTATGAAGTCTGCTGTGGGGAAAAATACAGGGTAGGGAAACTTAAAACAAAAACAAATCAGACTAGACCAGTAATGCTCAACCTACTGAACTGGATGAGTAGCATGGGGCCAGTCTGTAGGCCAGATGCAGATTGTGTCGGTGCACAGGGTCAGTGCACAGATATGACCCGATGCGTCGGCCCAGCCCTGCATGCCAGATCCAGCCATGGCATATCTTTGCTCACTGGCTCAGCCCCACATGCTAGCACAATCCAGCACACTGGGTCATGCCATCCAGTTCACAAGGCTTCCCATGGGTCCGGAGATTGCAGCAATTAACACTGTCACCGGCTCCTCTGCCACCAAAATTTCTGGCTCTCTGAGGAGCCCCATGAACCAGATCAGACAGATAAAATAAACAT